ATCAATTTGTCTTCAATTGACGGTCCATATAATTAAAAATGGCGCTTCTTCAACGCTTGGTAGCTCCCTCATCGCGAGGCGCGCTGCGACAATCTCCAGTTATCACCTTGATGATCACAAGAAAAGCATCCAATGTTGCTCCCCCAAAGGTACTTGTCGCTCACTGTGTTAAAGTCTACAAAACTGACAACCTCTAGCTCAAGGATCCATCTCTTCTAAAGCAGGATGTCTGCTACGTCAACGGCGAATGGGTCAAAGCCCATTCCGGCAAGACATTCAAAGTTAATGGTGAGCCTCAACCTCCGTACAGTCTAGTTAAATACTGACCACCAAAAGACCCGTCTACTGGTGATCTCATTGGAACTTGCCCCGAATTCAGCTCCAAAGATGCCCAATTGGCCATTCGCGCTGCCGCTGATGCTTTCCCTTCGTTCCGCGCCAAGACAGGCCGTGAGCGCTCCAAGCTGTTGCGCGCTTGGTATGACCAGATGACGGCCAACGCCGAAGACATCGCAAAGATTATTACCTGGGAGAACGGAAAGCCTATGGCCGATGCAAAGGGCGAGACAACTTATGCTGCTAATTTCCTGGAGTGGTTCAGTGAAGAGGCGCCGCGAGTATATGGCAATACAATTTCCAGCTCAGTGCCTGGAAACCGTGTGTGGACTATCAAGGAACCCGTCGGAGTTTGCGGCTTGATTACACCGTAAGATTATTCCTTGCATTTGGCATTCTTCGCTGACTTATTCTAGATGGAACTTCCCTGCTGCCATGATTACTCGAAAGATTGGGCCTGCTCTGGCAGCAGGTTGCACAGTTGTCGCAAAATCCCCTGCCGAGACACCATTTACTTCACTCGCCCTGGCCGAGCTAGCTCACCGCGCAGGCATTCCCAAGGGTGTTGTAAACATCGTTACCTCACATGAAAATACCCCCGAGCTTGGCGAGCTTCTCACTACAGACCCTACCATCCGAAAGGTCTCCTTCACCGGCTCCACCGGAGTTGGCAAGCTTCTCATGAAGCAATCATCCGGTACCCTCAAGAAGCTCTCAATGGAACTCGGTGGAAATGCCCCGTTCATTGTGTTTGATGACGCCGATGTTGATGCTGCCGTTACCGGAGCTATCGCCTCCAAGTTCCGATCTTCTGGCCAGACTTGTGTTTGCGCCAACCGAATCTATGTCCAGCGTGGTATCTACGATGAGTTTGTGTCCAAGTTCACCGAGAAGGTCAAGGCTTTTAGTGTCGGAAACGGTTTTGATCAAGGGGTTACACATGGACCCCTGATCCACGATCGAGCAATTGAGAAGGTCGAAGCTCACGTCAAGGACGCCGAGAAGAAGGGCGGAAAAATCACCATCGGAGGCAAGCGACTCAGCGAGCTTGGATCCAACTTTTACGCGCCCACCGTCATCCGTGACATGACTCCCGAGATGGACATGGCCTCCCAGGAGACCTTTGGACCAGTTGCTGGTCTTTTCCCCTTCGAGACAGAGGAGGAGGTAGTCAAGATGGCCAACAACACCGAGGTCGGACTGGCAGGTTACTTCTTCTCTCGGGATATCGAGCGCGTTTACCGCATCGCTGAGTCCCTCGAGGTGGGTATGGTCGGAGTCAACACTGGCATCATTTCTGATGCTGCTGCGCCGTTTGGTGGTGTCAAGGAGAGTGGCTTTGGCCGAGAGGGATCGCTGTATGGAATTGGAGAGTACCAGATTACCAAGATGATTACGTCTGGAGGCATGGGCAAGCCTCTCCAGTCGTAGGTGTAAGGATATGATAGCTATAATTTGGTACCTAATGAAGAACGAATATATCGCCAGTAAGACGAGGCATGAAACTGGCTGTGTTTTCGAGGTTGATGCAGTGGTTGAATTTGAGGAATAAAGGTTGCAAATCGTACCCTTACTCTGAGGGATCTAACATCACTTACTTGATCTGTGTTAAAGGTTCAAAGAGTGACAAGCAAAGACATAGTGGTGCCCTAGTGTTCACAAGTTGCCATGCATGGTATGGCGAGATTTAAACGAGTCTTACGAGTTACGTGTATCTTTGTGATTCAGGATTTTGTGGCTGACTGCCTACTAATACCCTTCCAACCTTCTCGAAGCCGTCGTGCTGAGCATGCGCTTAGACACGGGCAAGGGGCTCTCCGTCCTGGATCTTCCTCTGTCCGTACTTCTCGAGACGGATACCCTGGATGGCGATGAAGCCAGAGGTGTCCTGGGGAGTCCAGTTCATGTCGAGGGTGTCCATGCTGCTCTCGTCGGCGGAGTAGAGGTTGGAGGTCTCGCTGGAACGTCCGACGACGTAGGCGCAGCCCTTGTAGGCGACAAGACTGACCTTGCCCTCGACTTGGCGCTGGGAGAACTTGATGGCGTGCTCGACGAGCTCACGCTCAGGGCTGAAGTACATGCCTGTTTTAGGAGTTAGGGTATCCAATTCGTCGGCTGGGTGTGAGTTTGGATGAAGGCTACTGACCGTTGTAGATGCAGTCTGACCAGTCCTTGGAAAGACGGTCGCGAATGGTTCGCACCTTGGAGTCCATGACCATACCCTCAAGGTCGATATGGGCCTGGCGAAGGATGGTAAGACCGGGGGTGTCTAGAAACGGTTGTTAACATGGTTGTCCTCTAACTGAGCCAAATATGGTTACATACCGTAGCAGCCTCTGCTCTTCAGGCCTGGCAATTGTTAGCAGACGACACAACAGACAGCGTACGTTCTTGACGAGCGGGAACTCACCGATAAATCGGGACTCGACAATGTCGACACGTCCAATACCTAATATTTGGTCAGCAAAGTCAAGAGTGTCCGAAGCGTGAAGTCTCACCGTTGACACGGGCAATCTCGTTGGCCTCCTTGAAGATCTCCAGGGAGCCAGTGATGGTCTTGTCGCCGACCTCCAGCTTGACGGGAACACCCTCCGCGAAGTGAACGGTGAAAGGAGTAGGCTTGTCGGGAGCGTTCATAGGATCTGCAGATAAGCGTCAGTGTCTAATCGTTTTATTTGGAACGACAAGGGGTAGCTTACCAACTGTGCGCTTCCACATGTCCTTGGGGGGCTCGAGCTCAGTTTGCTCAAGGATCTGATGTGGTCAGTATAATGTAGGATGGAGTTCAAGGGTGTGGAGTGACTTACACCGGCCTCGTACGAGCAGTGGATGATGTTGTCATCCATGGACCAAGGTGCCTTGGGGGTAGAGCTGACGGGGATCTTCTGCTCTTCGGCGAACTTGAGCAGATCGGCACGTCCGCTGTGCGGTTGTTAGCTTGGCTACAAAAAAGTAGTACTGAATCACATACGCAAATCGGTTGTAGAACTCGGGGTTGCGCCAAGGGGCGACGACCTTGAGGGTAGGGTCGCAGGCCTTCCAGGCGAGCTCGAAACGAACTTGACTACAGAGATGTAAGTACTAAGCCAGAGGCTGTTTGGAAAAGGAGGCATACTCGTTCTAGAAATGTTAGCAACATGAACTGAAAAAAGGGGTTTGGGGTTGGGGTTAGATAACTTACACCCTTGCCGGTACCTGAAGAGATAGGAGACCTATGTTAGCCAATTGTCTATACAGACAGCAAGCAAGCTGTGACTTGTCCAGGAGGCTGCTTACATCCGTGGCTGAGGATCGTGCAGTTGTGCTCCTTGGCAGCCTTGACCATGGATCGAGCGATCACAGGGCGAGCAAGACTGGTTCCGAGGAGGTCTACTCGATGTTAGCTGAGTTATCGATGAATGTTGGGAATGAGTAACTTACATCGGTCCTCGTAGATGGCGTTGCCTATAGATTTCGAGCGTCAGTAAATGTGTTAAACTTACACGCAAGTCAAAGCAGGTGAACATACACTGAATAGCAGGCCAGACCAGCTCGTCAATGAGCTCCTGCTGGACATTCTCGATGATCATGCGCTCAGCACCGAGCTTAATGGCCTTCTCCTTGACGGCATCGAAGTCCTCCTCCTGACCACAGTCGGCAAGGAAGCACACGACCTCATAACCCTGAAGAACCAACCATCGGAGGATGGTGCTAGTGTCAAGACCTATTGCATATATGAGCATTGAACTTGAGATACCCTCTTAAGTGTGCTCAACTTACCACCTGAGTAGGCACTGAATTACGTCAGTTTGTCAGTGACTCAGTTTAAGGCTTGAACCAGTTATCGTAAAGGACTCACAGGCAAACACGTTCGGGAGCCATTGTAGATGATTTCTTTTGAAGTCGAGGAGATGACCTAAAGTGGTAAGTGCGCAGATATAGACCCAAGAGTTTAGATACAAAAGGTCTACAGTCTACAGGTAGTAAAGCAACTTTTTGGTATCAGGCACAAAACTCGGCGGGGGAATGTCTATGCTAGCTAGCAAGGCTTTCGGATCTCGCTCCGAAGTCGGCAACTTTTGTGGGATTGCCGTTTACCCTGGAAAAGGTTTAGTCAGTCTTATCTGCCTTTGGCTGCTGTGAAGTGATAAGGGCCACCCAACCCTGAAGCTATGGAGCGGATCTGATTGGACAATGGCTCATGATTTACTCAACACTTTACGAATGTTGATTAACGACAAGCTTACAGTATAAACAGTTTATTATGCTTTTTAAGTAACGTCTGCGTAGCCTTTCGAAATAAGAGAGACCTGAACATCGGGGCTAAAATCCGAGACTCAGGGAACAATGCTATCTGCCCACTGATATAGAATGCTAGCTACATACAGACAGACAAGGAATACAGTCAAGATAGATGATAGCGCTTCCCTTTTGAGAATTAGACAGGCTTAAAGCCTAAAATAGTATTACACAGACAGGGGCTTTTCCCAGAAAAAGGTTAGTTACCTAGGTAAGAAAGAGAGAGTCTTTCTCCCTTTGAACCTCTCTCACGTTTCACTCAGCCCTATGCGAGTAGAACTCCATTTTACCCCGCAAAAGCTTAAGTACTACTTACTTACTAGGTTCGCAAGCCAAAAATATCTTTGATCATCGTATCACAACACCATGACAACGAATAGACATAATGATCTTGGCAGGGTTCGAACCTGCGATCCCCTGTGATCACTGAAACGCATTTCATTTTGTAAGACAGGTGCCCTAACCACTAGGCCACAAGATCGTGACCTTTTGATGGCTTCATGATGTATATATACCCCGCGCGAACTCACAAGGAATAACTCAGCATGATGCTCCTGACATGTCATGTTAGCATCCGTACGAGGCATGGATAGTTCACTGCGTACATGATAGCCACAAAGAATTTATACGGCTACTGGTCAAGCGTTCGAGGGCGGAGCAAGGAATGATCGAATACATCGAAGAAGCAATCTCGGTCAACGGATATGCCAGTCTTAACTTGAATGTCACCGCTAGACCTACCTAATTCAATTGCTTTATAGGTAGTTCAGGTCCCTTGTAGGAGAATAAACGTACAAGGGCCTGCATTTGCAGCTTGTAACAGAGAAGCTGTAGCACCGTTTGGTGGTAAAAGTCAATTCACAGGCAGAGCGATGAGAGGAATGACTACAAAATCGGGAAGAATATTTATTCACTATCTTCGTAGTAATCATAAAAGACTAAACTATTATAATAATGATATAAAGTCAATCATGCCACTTCAATAGCCTGCTGAGTAGTGAGTACAGTAGGTGTGTAAAAGTTCCAATAATTTTCTCTATTCTAGATTTTATATACGATTATATAAATTATAATAAACTCTCTTTATCTTAACAGTATTATAAAATCTTATTTTAAGATTATATATAAAGTCTTCTAGCTATAGTATAGTTTATTTATCTATTCTATTATATATCTCTAGTTGGCTCATTATCGGAACTCTTACACACCTACTATACTATCAAACATGTTAGGACCACATACAACAGATCACAACCAACAATTTCACTGAGCAGACGTCAGTATGCAACGCACAAGCTGACAATTGAAAATAGGGATTCCAAATGTTATACTTAATAATACATATAAAAACTCCAAGAGTGTTTTCAGCTTCAATTTTGTTGATCTCCATCTGGATGTTCCCATGCCCAACCAAAACCTTATCTTATCACCGCCAATCCCGGAGCTGATCTGACGTCGCGCAGGAATTTCGACCCTCACCCGAAACCCCAATCAACAGCCTCGACAAACTTACACCACGGCACACTTATTACAATGGCAATGTCACGAGCCAATGGTCCTCTGAGGACCTGCCTGCGCCAGCTCGTGCGCTCAGAGGCGTACGTCCCCGATGCAAAAGCTCCTCAGTGTCATGCCAAACTCACTGACCAACCTCACAGACCAGCTCCCCTCCGTTCCATCACCGTTACCCCTCGCTTCTTCAGCGCCTCCCCCTCGCTGCTCAAGAAGCGCAAGATCACGGCGCCCAGCAACAGCCCCAACAGCGCCAATGCTAAGGCGGCCGCTGGGTCCATGAACAAGGCCGAGTACGACACCGCGAAGGTACCTATGCCGGACCCGGAGGATCCTCTCGACTTTACGGCCGTTATTGCTGCGTATGCACCTATCGATGCACATTTTAAGACGCACCTGGCAAGTATGATACATGGTGGACGATTCAACCCGACCAACTTGGGCTCGCTGCCTGTGGCTATCAAGGACGAGGAGGGCGGCGATGCTTCATTTCCCCTGCGAGAGCTTGCGCAGGTCGTTCCGCGATCCGGACGAGCTATCTCGCTGCTGGTAAACGACAAGGAATACATCAAGCCCATCATGTCAGCGGTGCAGGCAAGCCGCGAATTCAACCAGCAGCCCCAGCGATCGGAGGATAACGAGCTTGAGCTGCTTCTCAAGGTGGAGCTTGAGCGCAAGGACGACGTGGAGCGACGCATCAAAGAGGCGGTGCAGCAGTGGAAGGACCGCATTCGCAACGCCAGATCACGACATGAGAAGACGCTCAAGGACTGGAAGAAGAACGGCACTGTGCTCCCCGACATCGTCAAGAAGGCCGAGAAGGAGCTTCAAAAGGTGCAGGATAAAAAGATGAAGGAGATCGACCAGGAAGAGGCACAGACAATTCGTCAACTATAGATGCACGAGGGCTGGTATTTGTATGATAGATGCAGAATATTTTTGTAGTATTACATATCGTGACAAGTGTACACTGATCTTAAGATCTTACAGTTCTAAGCGCGCGCCTTTCCACCTTTTCCACCAGCGCCCTTGGACAGAAGCGACGTCAACTTTGTCTCGAACGAGTTGACGTCGTTGATATTGTACGTCTCAGCCCGGAGATGCCATGAGCGGGACACGCCCACGGGGTCTGAAGCAAACTTGGGTGTCTCGTGCTGGCCCTGTACAGCTCGCTGTGTGATAACCTGGCGGACAGACTCCTCAGCATCGGTGATAATAGGGCCCTTGGACTCCTTGCCCTCGGCCTGAAGCTTGTCCTGGAGGTGCTTTTCAGCAGCCTGCTTGGCGTTGGCATCGGCAAAGAAGCGAATGCCGCCGGCCTCGATCTCAGAGGCGTAGTAGCGAGGTTGGAAAGCTTCCGGTGCGCCAACATGGTCAGCTGTGCCGAGAACGCTGAGGTTCTGGAGAACAGCAGCTGATTTTCCAGAGGTAGTGTTTGGCGCGACGGGTGCGAATTCGTTGACGGACTCGATTGTCAGAGAGGGCGCCCATTTGGATGTCATGCCGAATCGAACGCTGTCTTCGAATGATTGCTCATCGGGATCCAGATTGTTGAACTCGTTCTGGTTATTCTTCCTGTCCTTGTCGTCGTCATCTCTTCGTCGTTCGGTTTTTCCACCTCGGCCACCACGTCCTCGACCCCCACGACCACCGCGGCCTCTGTCGCTGAATCCCCCACGACCTCGACCTCTCGTAGGTGCACCGTTTGGCGAGGATGAGCGATCCTGGCCTGAAAAGCCTCCCCTACCTGTGAAACCACCTCGTCCAGTAAACCCTCCCCGTCCAGTAAATCCTCCTCGGTCAGTAAATCCACCTCGTCCGGTAAGTCCACCTCGCCCACGAAGACCACCCCGTCCACGGAGCTCACCACCACCACGCCCTCTGAAACCTCCCCGGCCGCGCATGGGCATATTCTTTATATCGACAACCTTTGGACCGCCAGCCTGACCAGAAGGACGGCTCCCGCCACGAGTGGCCGGTCTTGGTGTGCTGGGACCATCGGCGGCCTGGATCTGTGTAGTCGAGAATTGGCGGGCGTAGTTTCGGAAGGCGTCTGAGGCCTGCTCGAGCTCTGGCCTTGTCCGGCTGCACACCGAACGGAAGGCGTGGCGTTGCATTTTGGCGGTGTTCGTCTAAAGTGGTGATGCTGATTGTCAGTGGTTTAGACATTCAATTTTCGTCCCCAGTTTACAAATGACTAAGCCAGTTCACCCCGCATTGGCCAATCACATGCTGGAGACATCTATGTTGAGAGTTCACTATCAGATTCAAAGTCAAGAGTAAATATTGAAAAAAACAAATCAATAGGAACTGCCTGTACTCAATTCCCGGTGCTATGCACAAATCAAGATCGGAAATCTTGCTATAAGCCCATGAATAACTCTATAAGGCCAATCGTTTCCCAATCCTCCCACCAATTCTTTACAAGTGCGCCCTCAAATATAGGCAACCTTTCCCAAACTCCAAAACGTATACACAGTGGCGCTATTCTGGGTCTTGTGTGCCTTCTTGACCATTTCAGATCGTCTGATTAGGACAGTTACGTCCGTCACTCGGAACAGAGGCCGTGACCGTCTACGGTTGTCACACCGTGGTACCTGGCCACTATGTACTGAGTGTACTTGTTCTCGGCACTCAAGACCACATTATGGACCTTACTTCATACCCTGATTCAAGAGTTGAAATGTTTTCGCTGTTTCTTTCTGTTCAAAACTAGACAGCATTCTCCGGGTCGCCCTCGGACTCGCCATCATTCGTATAAATGAATGTCTCGTAATAGAGAAAGTTGGCATAAAAAAGTCGTTTCGTATTTGCAATGCATATTCCACTACATGCTCTGAGGTTGGATTAAAGCGGGCTGTTGAAGTTAGAATAGTCCTGTAAAAATGCCTGGGGTCATAGAATGGACATACCGGACTGTTGAGCATATGCTGTCGCTTGTTTCGGCTCTTCTTGATATGACTCTTGAGCGCGCTAGAATCGAGAGGCTTGAGCAGCTCAAAGCTACAGAGTAACTCGGCGGAAACCGACATAACAGCGCCCCAGTTGTCAAATTCGCCGCAGTACTACCTAAGTTAGCCGATTATCTGAAGGGACAGATTCGGGTGTGACTTACATTGGGGGCACTGAAGACCGTTACGAGAACCCTATCGTTGAAGAATTCATAGCCGTCCTCAACCACCATGTGCGCACGGCAAATGAGATCAAAATCGTGCACTGCTAAAAACTCTGTAATGACTCGTTTACCAAAACAGTAACTGACTCCTCGCTCGTTGGCTTCCCAGTCTTGCTCCATGTCTGCAGGGTCTGACCAGAGAAGATCGTTGAGTAGTCCATAGTCGGGAACGTCGGTTGGTCGAGCAATGTTTCGAATATCGTCCATGTGGACAAGAGCTGGCGACAAACCTCCGTGAACACAGAAAATCTTGCCGGCAACAATAGCAGCAATTGGCAGAGTGTTGAAGCAGTCAATAAACGTCTTCCAGATTTTGACGTTGCATCTTCGCTTGCATTCATCGTAGAAGCCATAAACTCGCGTAACGTTGGCGCACTCGTGGTTCCCACGGAGGAGGAAGAAGTTCTCGGGGAACTTGAGCTTGTAACAGAGGAGTAGGAGGATAGTCTCTAAAGACTGCTTGCCTCGATCAACGTAGTCACCAAGGAAAAGATAATTCGAGTTGGGAGGGAATCCGCACATCTCGAACATGCGGATAACATCAGTATACTGGCCGTGGACATCACCCACTACCTTGACTGGCGCATCGAGCTCCAAAAGAGCAGGCTGCGTCAACAAGACTTCCCTGGCCCTCTGGCAAATTGCAACGATCTCGGCATTCTTGAGGCAGACGCTCTTGGTGACCTTTCCAGCATAGCCCGCGTCCAAGAGTCGCTTGATGAAGTCGTCGAGATCGATATCCTTGATCTCTGACATGGCAACATTGGAGTTGCCTTCGCTCTTGTCGGCGGAAG